GCTTTTTTACCATTTGTCTGACCATTGCACAGTCTGACCTTAAGGTGAAGTTCATGGGGCATTCACTGTACTGGTTGTGGTGAATGCTCCAAACCAACTAACTTCTAGAACTCAGTGGTCATATTGGTGGATGATCAGGTAATCAAGTGTAATTGATTTGCAGCACCTGGGTGCTGCTTAACCTCTACAAAAGCAGTAAAGGTGTGATTTTCCACAGACTGCAAAGAGTCGTAGTTATGATTTCTGCTTGGTCATCGCCAGTTGTCACTGGTTACTACTACTACAGCGCATAGTTATGCTAAACTTGTGACTTGCTTGTTTTACCTGGTGGAGTTTTCGTGTTTGTTTGGTTTCTTCATCTTTATTAATTTTTTAGAACTATTTGATGGGAGTTTCTCCTGACTTTTACTTTGGATGTTTCTCTTTGTTATCACTGTACCAAAAAGTAGGGCTGTTTGATATAACGATATATATCAGATGACGATATAAAAACGTCTGTCGTTTCATATCACGCTATCGTTTGTTTCATGGTGTCGCAAAATAAACTGTTTATTTTTTCATGGTTTTGATGGTCAGTGTAGCGGCTATATTCATTTTTTTAAAGTTCTCTTTTTCTCTTATATTTAAAATAACCACACTATGGACGGACAAGCGACTCTTTTTACGTGTTGCCGTTAGCAACAACGACGGTAATATCAGCGTGTGGGACCTGTCACTACCCGATCTGTACCGGAAACCCGATCGGTACCACGCATGTGCAAAAGGCCACTACTGCCGCTCAAAGCATTTTACGATGGTTACGGGTCAGAGTATCTGTTAAGATGTTAAGAATAATAAGTATCTCTTAAAATGCTTGCAATAATGAAAGTTTTCAGTATAATGTAGACAAAAACGAAAAATAAAAAGATAGTTACGGATCAGGACTCCCGATCCTTACTGCGTATGTGCGGATGTTTTCTTCTTCTTCTATTCGTTTAATGGCAGTTTACACCCCAGTGTACGAGGATACTGCCACCTGCTGACCGAGCGAATGAGCCCTGTTGTAAACTGAACTAGCGTCATTACAAACGCGTGTTAAATTTGATTTAGTGATAGTCGAGTGTGTTTATGCTTGTCTGTGTGGAGAGGATTGATTAGAATAGTGATGATGATGTCCGCTATCACTATCCGTCCATTCCTCTATCCATTGTTTAAATGTCCCGGACAGTCGAAAAGGAGGCAGAGCTGTTGAGAAATGCTAGGAGCTAACTGGGCGCTAACCGTGTCATTCAAATACATAACTGTCGCAATGTTGGCGAAGAGAGGAAGTGACGTAAGATTTGCGCATGCGTGGTACAGATCGGGTTTCCGGTACGGATCGGGTAGTGACAGCTCCGCCGTCCGCTTGTTTATTTTCCACATAAACCTTTCACAATAAAGCTGAAGATCCTGTTGAGATTTTTCAAAATAAACTGAAATGATGACAAACACAAAGACCAGTCAAAACAAATGGAGGACCTTATTTCTAAATGAGGGGCTACCTCTGTAGCATGGACATGATTTGGTTCTGAAAAGTCTGACACAGACCAGAAAACTGTACTATGCAAAATATGCAGGAAACCGGTCCCCACCGGCCTCCAAACACTGCAAACCTCTTCTACCACAGACGCAAGAATCACGTGAAAGAGTGTGCAGAGAGTTTACGGGTGAGAAGCAAAAAAAGAGCCGTCAGGCGCTCCAAATGTTAGAACAGACTTTTCCCCGACGCACGGCGTGTAATAAATACTCACAAAGACAATGGCGGCCGTTACAACTTGTGCCTAAAAATGTACAGTTTCATGCATCGGTCAAAACACTCGACTCCAGGTACACGACGCCCAGCTGGAAACACTTTGAGTCGAGTTGGCTGAGATTCACAGAATTTACAGAAAATGTAACATTTTTGTGATTTATATCGTTTTCGGGACAATAAATGTCGTATATCGAAATATGAGATTTTGGTCATATCGCACAGCCCTACCAAAAAGACCAAAGTTGGTGGTTATTTCCTCTGATGTTCAGCGCCAGTCATGAGCCCTTTATGATGCTGTGCAAGTGGAACAATAATTGCTTGATGCTCAGATTAAAAATAAAAATTATAATTCTCTGAAAGCACACAATAGCTGATTCAAGACATTTAAGCTGTAGGTGCAGAGTCTCTGCTTCCTAGTTTGCTATTTTCTGCTCAGCTCTCACAGAGTACTCTCCTCTACAGCACCTATCATAACTTGTTGGGTTGAATGTGTTCATACAGAGCAACCTTTATAGGGCTTTCTTAGTCCTGAATTATGGCAAGCAGTTGTAGCCGTCCTCGAGCCTCTCTGACAGCAAGATCAATAAGACTCGGCGAATGTCACGCAGGAAGCCATTTCAGTTCTAACTGGTGACATAAAAGAGCCCCCAGGCTGCCATATTGGCCCAGAGACCCCCGCTGCTCGCGGCTCCGCTCGCTTCCTTGTGAACCACCGCAGGGAAATCACCTTTCAAATAGTGACACACTCATCTCCTGTGAAATATATATGCAGCGCCACGTAATGAAGAGGTGCATATGCACAGTGGCATTTCCACTGCCGTCTGAAGACCTTCAGCACAAAGTAAAATATAGTCCCCTGGTGTCAGAGCTTTGATAAAGATGAATGGAGTCATTGTGACTGTAATAAGATAAAGGTAGTATGTGTTGACATTTCTGTTGGAATGGTGGAATAACATCAGGGCAGCTCTCAGAAGTACACAGTGATAAAGAAACCTGGGAGATGTAAGCCGGTGACATTTTTATCCATGTGGTTAACAAAGCTGAGTTTATATCGGCTTGTAGTAAAGCCAGCTATACATGTGCAAACTAGAATCATTAACTTAGTCTGCTACTGGGTCTTAGTGTTTTTTTAATTATCATATATTTCTTTCAATGTGTAACCAGTTGCCGTAGTTGTTGTTTGGATAAAAGAGATATTCCTGAATAGTGGAATTGTAAAGCGCTTTGGGCGCCTAGAAAAGCGCTATATAAATGCAATCCATTATTATTATTACACAATATTTTCACAGACCGTCCTTTAAGGTGTCGCCGATAAATACAACAAAATAAAATGATACGACCAATACAAAAACTGTGGTAATTTAAAAATATAATAATAAACGTGAATTAACTGTGTAACTTTATTAGCAGCGTCCTCCTGAAATGCGCCAACAACATTGAGAGTAACGTCCTCCTCTCTGCCCGTTAATGCGCTCTGGTCGCTATGGTAACGCGCAAATATTTCTTTCAAAATAAGACGCACGACTACAACACAGGAAAAGACCCAGGGAAACCAAGTTAACGATAAAAACCCTGAAAACCATAAATGTCACACCCGAGCCTCAAACGACTCACAGACCACTACCGGACAGTGGCCCAGGGGTTGGGAACCGTTGTGTTAGGCAACAGAACCAGTGCTGCAATAAAGAACCAGCAGTACCAGCAGAACTACAGAACTAGAACAAGAACATGAATGAAAATCCTAAAACTCAAAATATTGAAGAAATTGATTATGATTCTGAAGTGGG